CTGCCTCCTGGGTGCTGGGATTAAAGGCGTGCACCACTGCCATCTGGCTGAAGACAGTTTTTATCTACATTGAAAAAAAAAAAATCACAGCAAGCAGTGGTGGCACACACCTTTAGTCACAGCACTCAGGAGACAGGCAAATCTCTGAGTTTGAGGCCAGCCTGGTCTACAGAGCGAGATCAGGACAGGCACCAAAACTATACACACACACACATACACACACACACAATTTTAAAAATCATATATGGTACGTGTCTATGACCCCACCACTAAGACGCTTAAGGCAGAAGGATCAGAAGTTGGAGGCCAGCAAGGACTATATAGTGAGACCATGCCTTTAAACAAAAATGAAACCAGGCCTAGTCAGATGGCTAATAAGGTAATGGTACTTCTTTACCACTAAGCCTTACAACCTGAGTTCAGTCCCCAGCACCCACACAGGGGAAGGGAACTCACTCCTACAAGCTGTCCTCTGATCTCCATACAGGTTCCCAGTGGTGTGTGCATAAACATACATATACTCACACAAATAAATCTAAATCTAATAGGTTAAAAAAAAAGCAGTATCTTGCATATATGAAAATTGTTAAGAGTAAATTTTAAGTGTTCTTGTCCTCAAAAGTAAAAACACATGAATGGTAAATCATATGCTTTAAGATGGAGACAGTAGCTATGTCTGTAATCCTGACACTCGGGAGGCTAAGCAGAAGGTCTGTTCACAGTTTAGGCTAGCCTAGAGTACGAAGTGTATACTAAACCAGAGCTAAATACCAGGATACTCTGTCAGAAAGAGGAAGAAGCAGAAGTAGCAGCAGGAAAAAGAAATATAACAGTACAGCAGTGTAGCAAAGTTTTTTTTGTTTGTAATCAAAATGATCTAAAGCTGGGTATGGAGGGTGAGATGGGAAGAGTTCAAAGCCAGCCTAGACTACACCGTGTTCCAGGCCAATTGTGTTACTTGTGTCACAAACAAGACAACAAGTGATCAAGTCTACTGACTTCACTTCTTGTTAACCTCTGTGCTAGTTAGTTTGTCAACTTGACCCAAGCTAGAGTCATCTAGAAAGAAAAAGGCTCAACAGAGAAAATGCTTCCATCATATTGTCCTGCTGGCAAGTCTGTGGGGGCATTTTCTTGATATGGCAGGCCCCAGCCCACTGTGGGTAGCACCAATGGAGGAGCAGGTGGTCCTCGGCGGGCGCGCGTGCGTGCGTGTGTGTGTGTGTGTGTGTGTGTGTGTGTGTGTGTGTGCGCGCGCGCACAAGCTGAAGAAGTCAGGGAGAGCGAGCAGTAAGCAGCATTCTTCATAGTCTCTGTTTCAGCCCCTGCCTTTAGCTCCTGCCCTGGCTCCCCTCAATGATGGCTGGGACTGGGATGTATAAGCCAATACACCCTTTCCTCCCCACATTGCTTTTGGTCAGAATGTTTTGTCACATCTATCGAGGAGCACACTGGGACAACTCTGCAAACTTGATTCAGCCCTTCATCTGTGTAATGGAAACAATGCCACAGGATCTGTGATGCACAAAAGGGGATCCAGAGGCTGGAGACGGCTCAGTGGTTAAGAGCACCTGCTACTCTTACAGAGGACCTGTTTGGTTCCCAGCACCCACAAGATGGCTCACAACTGTCTGTAATTCAGTTGCAGGGGATCTCATGCCCTGTTCTGGCCTCCACAGGCACCGGGCATTTGTGTGGTGCACAGACATGCATGCAGGCAACACGTAGACACATAAAAGTTTTTTTAAGGTAGACTGATTTTAAAAGGTTACTCTTCCTAACTTTATACCTAACTTTTCCTTTTCTTATAGTTCTCCCCCTCACTTCTATTCAAATTTAACCTTCATCAGCTCTAGAATAAACAAACAAGATAAAGGAAGCTTGGTGTTAAGCTGGAAAATGAAAGGGTTATAAAAAATACATGTTTCCTATAGTAAAAAGGAAACAGCAGAAAGATACAACACAAAGTACAGGAGTTCTGGGCTTGGATACTAACTTACCTTTTAATATCCAATTTATCTAAGAGTTAGACATTTATTTCACAGAGGATAGGAAGAAACACTATGTTTCCAGAAGGAAAGGAAATGCTTTTTGAAAAGCAATTTAAAAATACGTTTCATAAAAACCACGGTGCCTACACTTACAATCCCAGACATAAACAAAAAGATCCTTGAGTTTTCTAAATAAAACAAACAATAAAAAGTTAATATATACACACATAAACACACACATATACATACTACTGGCTTTTTTGGCTAAAATCAAAGGTTAAAAAAAAAAACTGGACAAGATGGAGACACCTGTAACTTTAACTCTCTGAAGTCTGAGGTATGAGGAATGCCACAAATCTGGGGTCAACCTGGGTTACCAAGAGGAGAGACCTTGTCTCTAAAGATTGTTAAAAAAGGGGGGTGGGGGTGGCCTGTTGATAGAGCACTGTGGAGTCTGATGACCTGAGCAGGAAAGAACCAACTTGCTCAAGTTGTTCTCTGCCCTCCACCTGTGCCACAGCACATGCAAGTAAGTGCATGTGTATGCACACATACACAAAAATGTGTAAAAAAGGAAAAAGACCTTTAAAGACATTTCTGAAACAATAAACAAAAAAGTTGTGAATTCAAAAATGTTTACTGTAGCAGTACTAAAAATTACAGTTCTGAAAGTAAATTTCAATTGTGATAGTAAAGAGAGCACACCCGATTCTATGAATCCTGCATTAAGACATTTCTGGGGCTAGAGAGCTGGCTCAGCAGTTAAGAGCACTTGTTCGCCGGGCGGTGGTGGCGCACACCTTTAATCCCAGCACTCGGGAGGCAGAGCCAGGCGGATCTCTGTGAGTTCGAGGCCAGCCTGGACTACCAAGTGAGTTCCAGGAAAGGCGCAAAGCTACACAGAGAAACCCTGTCTCGAAAAACCTGAAAAAAAAAAAAAAAGAGCACTTGTTCTTGCAGAGGACCTGGTTCGGTTCCCTGCACCCATATGCTAGCTCACAAGACACCTCTTCTGGTCTCTGAAGGCACCAGGCATGAGTCGGTGCACAGACATACAGGCAGGCAAACAACCATACACATAAACTAATAAATAACATTTTTTAAAAAGTAAAATAGACTTTGCTGGCAATATTAACTTAAAAAAGAGAGAGAGAAACAAAATGTAAAACTGTATTACAGTGACATAAAAGGAAGAGGGACCCACCGGAGTAATGCTGAGGCTCCCCAATTTTTCAATTGCTGGCACTGGGAAACATGCAGGGCTCCTGACCAGCCTTGGCTACAGTATGAGAATCAGTCTTAAAACAAGACACTGTGCCCGGCAGAGGTGTCGCACGCCTTTAATACCAGCACTCGGGAGGCAGAGCCTGGAGGATCTCTGTGAGTTAGAGGCCAGCCTGGTCTACAGAGCGAGATCTAGGACAGGCACCAAAACTACACAGAGAAACCCTGTCTCGAAAAAAAAAAAACCAAAAAAAAAAAAAAAACCAACCAAGACACTGAGAATCTACCACATATACACAGGCATAGATAGAATGAACTTCAGAGTTTCAGAGTTTACCTAGTTTTCCCCTAATTCATGTATCCATTCCAAATTGTGTGGGCAGTTACCATGTGTCAAGACACTGGGAATAGAGCTATAAACAAAAGAAAGTCCACCTTGGCAAAGTAAATCTCAATTTGAATTGTTTCAACAACTATACAAAATTATGCCCTAGGCCAGTGTTTTTTTGACATGTAAGCTGACACTGGTTGAATGACCCTTTCACAGGGGTCGCCTAAGACCATCTGAAAACAAGATACTTACATTACGATCCATACAGTAGCAAAATTATACTACAAAGTAGCAAGGAAAATAATTTTATGGTCAGGAATCACCACAACATGAAGAACTTATTGAAGTCGCAGCATTAGAAAGGCTGCGAACCACTGTCCTAGACCAATGCTAAACTTATTAAGTCTTCTGGAGGCAAAACACCACCACTTCCAATTTCTTTCCTTTGAAGCTGTTTCTGTGGTTAATTCAGGCATTACCATATCCCTTCTTTTAAAAGTTCAGAACCCAGAAAGGTGGCAGTTGTGACCGTGACTACCAACACTAGACCGCAAAGGCAGGATGATCCAAAGTTCGAGGACAACCTGGTCAACGCCGAGACTTCGAGGTTAGCCAGAGGTACACAGCGAGACCTTGTCTCAAAACAAAACCCCACGACACCCCTCCCCGAAACGTACTCACAAGCTCAGGCAACAGTAACACCACCAATCCATAAAGCACCTCACAGTTTAAAGCAGATTTTGATACAAAGTCATTCATTTTTCAAGTCGGTATACACGTTCTTTGTTGTCCCCAGGGACACTTGAGGGTAGTTCAGGAACTCCCAAGAAGGTTGGCGCTCAGAAAACCAGGAGGAAGGACAGCTACGCATACTAACCTAACTCGAGAGTTACAATGTGGAAGAAGAATCCTTCTGGGACCGGACCAGGCAAACCTTTCTGACAAGACAACCTGGGAAAAGACTAAACCCTCTCCTGGAACCTGAGGTTCCGGAACTCCCGGAATTTCAGCACTTCTAACCATCGCAAGCCTCGCAACGCTGACTATACAGTGGGTAATAATACAACTCCGCAGTCTACTCTGGAAGTTACAAACTAAAAGACCAAGACAGGTGCTTCTCCTACAGGATGATGAACTAACTGCTCGGCAGCGATCAAGCAGTTGCTAACCCCGATAAGCGCCCTCTAACTTCGAGATCTCTAACCCTCGGCCAGCAGAGGCCCACGGAGGGGCGGGACCACATGCTCCCTGGCCGAAGCCAGGCCCGTCGGAACATCCAGTCGGGGGGGGGGGGGGGATCATCCGCAACGCCGGCAGCCGGCAGAGGCCGAGGGCCGCGGGACCAGGGCCGACTGACAAGTTTATGGCGGTTTACCCAGCCAGGCTTCGGGCCACCTACCCACCCACCCCCCAACCTCTTCGCAAAAGCATCCCTCCTGTGCCCTGGGGCGTACCTGAGACACCGAAGCGCGGAACCCCGCATAGCCCGCGCGCTCCGAGACCTGCAGCGAGCGTTCCCCGAGCTCCGAGTCCTTCCCGCGCCGGTCAAACAAGTACACCGTCCGACAGCCGTCGACGCCGCCGTCCCTCCCAGACCCCGCCGAGAGGCCGCCGGCATCGCTGGCGCCCGTCGCTGCCATACTGGGGGGGTGGGGGGGGTGGGGGGGCGGGGGAGGAGGAAGGAAAGCGAACACCCTGCACGGGCCTCGGTCGCGCTTCGTGGCGATGCCGCCTCCCCGCGCGCGGGCGGGCGGGCGGGCGCGCGTGTCCCCTCGGCTCCCGCCGCCGCGGCTCGGGGCCTCGGCCCGGACGCGCAGCACCCTCCGCGGCTGCGGCTGCGGCTGCGGCTGCGGCCGGGAAAGCAACCCGGGAACCGATTCAAACGCTCTCTTGCCGGGGTGCCAGACGTCACTTCCGCGACCCGCGCGCGGAGGCAGGGACGCGCTGCGTACGCCTGGAAGTCGGCTAGCTGCGCCCGCCGCCGCCGCCGCCGCCGCCGCCGCCGCCGCCGCCGCCGCCCACGCGAGCCTGGGGTGCCGTGGGACCCGAGCGAGAGCAGGCCGCCGCCGCCGCCGCGGCTGGCTGCGCAGGAGGAAGAGAGCGGTGGGCGGAGACCCGGCCAGTCCGGCAGGCCGCGGGGCGGGGCGGGGCTTCGCGCGCCTTTCTCCCCTCCCCCTCCCCCAGGCCACGCCCCCCCGGGCCTCACGCGGACTGCTGGGGGGGGGTGGGGAGGACGGGCGAGCGGCGGGAAAGACAGCTCCCAGCGCCTCCGGGGCGCTTCGCGGGAGGACGGCTCGCGGGCGCGTCGCCCCCCGGGGGGGTCTGTCTGTGTTGGGACTCAGGCTCGGGCGTCCTGGTTCCTCCTCCTCGGCTCGCTCGCCACGCGGTCTCTGCAGGGCGCGATGGACGCGGTGGCGGGAAGCGTGGGTCACGCGGGTCCCCACGCGGCCGACACGGTCGCCAGGACTCTTCAGACCCGGCGCCCCGCCGGGCGCGTCCGCTTCCCTGGCGGTCGTGGGTGGGTTCCAGTGTGGGACAAGGAGACAAAGCTGGGCCTGGAGGAAGAACCGGGTCTCTGACGTCACCGCGGCCGCCTGGCTGGCCCCCCGGGGGGTTTGCTGGGCGCTGAGGCTCTCCGTGGCTGCCGGTCCCCCCTTAACGGGATCGGTTGACCGAATGACCTCTAACCCGCTCGCCGAGGTTAAGTTAGGTTCTCCTAAGTGCATAATGTGTGGGACACCCTCCACGAAAACTTCAGCACCGGTGTGGGGGGGATGCGCTTCATAATAACTATACTGATAGCACCAAACAAAAGTAACCTTGCGGAGGACTAGACTTGCTCTCTGGTTCTCAAACCTGGGTGTTTTGTACCTGAGAGCAACATGTAAATTAATGAAAACCCAAGGTAATAATAATGGTTTAGGGAGTCCTTTTAGGTTTCCACAAGTTGGGTCACATTTAAGTGTGCTGTTTTACGAGGTTTGCTGAAGCCTTTATGGTTAATGATAAAGCCAGCTTCACAAACTCCGTGCACCCTAGGAACAGACCTGGTTGTTGGCACCAAGGACAGAACTGAAGGATTGTTGGTTCGACATACTTTACAGGTAGAACATGAAACTGAACAAAAGTGTGAAGGCGTGTGTCGGGCGGCATAAATAGCATGACTGGGTGAAGAGAGAATGGGCCAGTAGGTCGTACATGAAACTGTGGCCAAACGCCGTGCATGTTTCTGAAAGGGAGCATGGGGAGACTGGAGACACAAAATTAGCCCCCAGCCATCAAGGGATTTCTGTCAAGTCTCACTGTAATTTGGTTTTTTGTCAGCCTTCCTGTGCTGCACAGGCTAACCTCGAACTTTGATCCTCCTGCCTTAACCTCAGGAAGGCTGGGAAGGTGTGCGTCACTACTCCTAGCTGACATTTCACATTATTATCTTAAAATCTCACAGAACCATTTCCTTCTATCCCTTTCTGTACTGTGTTAGACTTAAATGACTCAAGAAAAACAAATATTCCTGGCCAGCACTCCGGGGCGGAGGCAGGCAGCTCTCTGAGTTCGAGGCCAACCTGGTCTACAGAGAGAATTCCAGGACAGCCAGAGCTACACAGAGAAACTCTGTCTTAGAAAGAAAAAACAAGAAAGGAAGGAACGAAAGAAAGAAGGAAGGAAAAGAAAAACCGTTTCTCTAAATCTTAATGAGCAAGATGAATTGCCTTTGTGGTTCAGCAAATCAGGAGGATCAACAGGGCAGTTTCTCTGTAATACCAAATTATAAATCTCATGAATACAAATAGAAGCACTGTGTGTGTGTGTGTGTGTGTGTGTGTGTGTGTGTGTGTGTGTGTGTATGTGTGTGTGTGTGTACATAAGTGCAGCTGCCCCTTGAAGGTCAGAGGACTCAGATTCTCTGGAGTTGGAGTTGCAGGTGGTTGTGAATCACTAGATGTGAGTGCAGAGAACTGAACTCTCAACATCAGGTCCTAATGTGGATCTTTTGTGTGTTTGTTTTCATTATTTAGAGAACACTTTATTAGGTTCTGTAATCAAGCCCTTATACATAAGACCTTACATATTTAACACAGTGTGTAATTCCTGTTCTAATAGAAAAGAAAGAAGCTTAATGTTTCTAGACCAATATGGCTATTATTGTGATACCACAATTACATGGTAAATTAGGATACTTTTTCCCAAAGTTGACAGCATAGCTAATATTTCCAAAGATTCAAATCATATATGCATCTATACTTATATTAAAACAACAACAGGAGTATTGTGTTATGCATCAATAGTAGCAACAGCTTTCCCAGGTTCAGCTGACATGCCTTTAATCCCATTAACTCAAGGCAGGTAGTTCTCTGAGTTCAAGGTCAGACTCTTCTACAGATCAAGTTACAGGACAGCCAGGGCTACACAGAGAAACCTTGTCTTGAAAAAAAAAAAAAAAAAAAAAAACCTAGTTAAAAGTGGGTGTGGTGATAAACATTTAGTCCCAGAACTTGGGAGGCAAAAGTCTCTACATTCAAAGGCAGCCAAATCTACAAAGTGAAGAGACCCTCCCTCAAGCCTGTTGAGCTGGGCTCAGTGATGTACCTACCATTTGACTGGGCTGCTGGGGTGCCTAACATAGAAATGTGGCTTGAGCCCAAGAGTTCAAACTAAAGGAGACTTAACTAAAAATTTAAATTAAATTAGCCAGGCGGTGGTGGTGCACCCCTTTAATCCCAGCACTTGGAAGGCAGGCAGACCTCTGTGAGTTTGAGGCCAGCCTGGTCTACAGAGTGAGTTCCAGGACAGCCGGGGCTGTTACACAGAGAAACCCTGTCTCAAAAAGCTAGGGGAATGTTAAATTTGAGTGATCTCTAATAAATATTTCACAAAAAGGAAAAGAGAAGCCAGAGAATTGGCCCAGGCAAACTTCACCAGCAACACACATGTTATTTGCGGGGCCTGGTGGTACGTGCCAGTAATTTTATCACCTGGAGTGAAGCAAGAAGGATCAGCACAAGACCAGCCTAGTGTACATATTGAGTTCCAGACCATCCAGGGGTCCATACAAAGACTCTCTCAAAAGAAAGTTAAAAATAAAACTCATAATGTCTTTGGCCATTCGTTTGATTGTTATTTTGTATACTTGAACCTGTTCATGCGTACTCTACTGTGTTTTGTTTACCTAACCACAAGTTGGGCCTGGTTTCAATCCTATAGTCTAAACTACCCAGAAGACTGGGACAGGAGGATCTCAAATTCAAGAACTGCCTGGGCAACTTATTGAGAACCCTGCCTCAAAAATTAAAAAAAAAAAAAAAAAAGATTGAGGATGTAGGGTTCATACATTTGGCATGTATGAACATGTGTGCCATGTGCATGCAGTGCCCCGTGGAGGCCAGAGAGGGCATCAGATGCCCTGGGACGAGAGTGACAGATGTTGTGAGCTGCCATTTGGATGCTGGGAATCAAGCCCGGGTCCTCCAGAAGAGCAACCATGGCTCTTAGCCATCTCTCCAGCTCCACAAACAGAATTCCTGTCCACAGCGGCAGCTGTGGGCATATAAACTCATCAGTTTGTTGGCAACACTGATAGGAAACGTTGCGTCACTATCAGCAACAGCACTCAGAGGAGGAACGTTGACAAATTAGCTGAGGCAAGAGTGGAGTGGCAAAGGTTCCTCTGAGAAAGCTAATGACTCATGGAATGTCTTGGCTTATGAAATGAACTAGGTGCTGCTCTTTAAGACCTGCTGGTGCACATAGAAGACTGTTACTATCCGTACTATTGACCTGCATTTTTTTTCTCCTTTACCGCAATCCATTGCCTAATTTTTAGTACTTATATTAGTGGTTTAGAAGAAGCTAGAAAAAAACAATAACATAGTCTGAGTGTCTGTTGATTGTTACAAATACTCGATTATGTGAGTTGTGTGTTTGTGTGTGTCTGTGTGTCTGTGTGTCTGGTGTTTGTTTTGAGACAGGTTTTTGCTAATGTAATCGAGCTGGCTTTTCTATCTCAGGACTTCAGATTCTACTTCCTGAGAGCTGAACTTTCACACTTGCACCGCCACACCCGACGTTCATGGTTGCATGTGTTCATGCATTTAAATGTAGTGCCTGTGATGTGGTAAATAAAACCACACCCATGCACGTGCATGCAAGCAACCCTCACTCAGTAGATGATGAAAAAAAAAAAAAAGAAAGAAAAACCATGAAAGTAGGAGAGAACATGATGGAAAGAAGGTTCTGGAGTGAGAAGTGGGTGAGAGAGGGGAGTGAGGGTGAATGTGAACAAAAATGAACATTTAAAATTATCAAGATTAAATTAGTTTTGAATTTTTCTTTTGTTGTTTTTATTTTCAGGCAGGGTTTCTCTATGCAGCCCTGACCATCCTGTAGCTCCAGGCTGGCCTTGACTCAGAGATCTGCCTACCCCTGCCTCCGGAGTGCCAGGATTAAAGGTGGGTGCCACCATGCCTGGCTGTATTTTTTTTTTTTTTTTTTTTTTTTTGGTTTTTCGAGACAGGGTTTCTCTGTGTAGCTTTGCGCCTTTTCCTGGAACTCACTTGGTAGACCAGGCTGGCCTCGAACTCACAGAGATCCACCTGCCTCTGCCTCCCGAGTGCTGGGATTAAAGGCGTGCGCCACCACCGCCCGGCCCTGGCTGTATTTTTTAATTTTTCTAAA